AAGAAAAATATGACCAATTTTTTAGAATGAAAATGGGCCGTCAACCCAATAGGAAGGAGATGGGAATTTTATTAAATAAATAAAGAAAATGCAAATTGGAAAAATTGATATGATATGTTGAGAGTGGGATTTGAACCCACGCCCTTTCGGACCAGAACCTTAATCTGGCGCCTTAGACCAACTCGGCCATCTCAACTTCATATTAYRAGTTAGATATTGAATTTAAACATTACATATAGTATACATGTATGTCAGCATATATATATTTTGAKATCTCTATTCTTCATCAAATGATATAGTAATGATTTACTTTAGTAATGCTACTTTTCAAACATGATTTTGATATATATATTTTGATTCACTCATATATTCACTCAAAATAGGAGTGTCATCTATATAAAACGAGAATCACAAACTTGTTAAATGGATAAGTGGAGAAAATGRAGCAATKTTAGAGGGACAATGACGAGCCGATAGGGCGAATAGTATAGGTTTAAAATCTTTTATAATCCGAAAAAATTGATCAACCTAATCCAACCCGATTGAGTTACACACCTAACAACTCAGAAGAGTAACTGGATCGAAGCAATTTAAAAAATTTTGTTGTTTCTACTCTTAAAGAGCTAAAGAAAAGGCCAAAGAAAAGTCTGGAAAACAACTAAGACGTTTGGATATGAGTAATACTGAAATTTTAATTAATGAAATGCAAGTCCTCCAACAGAAGCCTATGTAGTAGCAAACAAAAGAAACCATACCTGAATAAAAGTTTTAGTAAACAGATCAGAAACGGCTGCTGCTGCTGCTCATAGCTACAAGTCTGACTTGCATTCATCCTAACTGGTCTAATTAATGACTACTTTTACTTCCATCAAAATTGGCATTGTTATGATTTGCTTGCTGTCCTCCTTCCCTGTTCCACTGCTCAAATCTAGCTCGCCTCTCTCCGCTCCCTTCTCTAACTGGACTTCGGTTCCTCCTTCCCCGCAGACTACGACTTCTGCTTCTTCTACGACCTGGGCTTGTACTCCTACTCCTCCTGCTCCGGCTTTCATGATAAGCATCTCGGTCATCATACCTCCGACTATGACCATGTCTACCATAAGAGCGTTGTTCATAATTCCGATGCCTATCGRGGCTGTGGCTCCTGGTCCTAAACAGTCTGCTCCTCAGCTCCCCRAAATGAAGTGCACGTAGCAGAAGTAGCAATTCAGAGTCAATATAAAGACACTACATAAAAGGGAAAGTGAAGRAAATATGCATACCAACTTATCCTCTTCAGATGCATGAAATTACAATAGGGACCAAAATTACACATGTTCTCTTCGTATCGTCTACAAGCGGCTACTATAAAGTCTGTCACTGTAGAGAAGTCGACTCTAATTAGAAGTCCTGCAGAAATTACGCATCCAAATTCAAGATTGAAAGCTGTATAAAAATTATGCAAACATGGTAAAAGCAGATCATATTATACATAAAAGAAAACGGAACTCCAACTAACCACCATAATATCTGTCCCTAAGATTCYGAAGAGCATTTGCGGCTTGCCCCTCCTCTCGATATTGAACATAAACATTACCCACCTAACCAAATGAAATAACATATAACAAATGCAAAAATATGGAACATAAACAGAGGGAGAAGACAGTTTTTACCATGTGGTCACCTARGTTGTCACAGACATTCAAACTCTCAATCTCACCGTACTTGCTCATTTCCTCGAATATATCTTCATAGAACTCCTAAAATGTGCACAAATCAACAATTAGGCGACAATTTTTCTACCAGCAAAAAGAATCAAAACAACACAAGATCAAGAACCAAAGCCMTCCAAAAGAAATAATGGGAACACTTTTCATTTTGGTTCTTGTAATATTTGGAGAACATTTTTCTATACAAGAATTCATTACCACACCACGAACATGCMGCAACAGGGTAACAGAGGAGAGTATTATCTAGCTCTATTCAAAATTACACGATCGCTTAAATATCAACCAAATTAGACAATCTCTAACACTAGGGCAAAATAAAATTGAGTCCGAATCAAGATTGGCCCCCAAAATGTCAAGATTCATAACAAAAATTTATACTTCCGAACACATTAAAAGATCGAAAAGGAAAATAAATCACCTCAAAATGGCGCTGGATCTTACGAGGGTCGATCGGATTTCCGCGCGCGTCGACACCAGGGCTAATCGTATCAAGTCTCTGGTACATATTAGAAAGCAAGAGTGTGGGGCTTATGAGAGGCTTGGGGTGCAACCGGGAACACTGATCGCCATGGCGGCAGGCCCCGACCTTGGAGTAGAAGGGACAGTTAGCCCTGCCCATCTGCGTCCCGGAAATGGAGGCCATTACAGCACCTCTGAGGACGACGGAGAAATTGCAGAATCCAAATTCGAAGTGCAACAATTGCCAACGATTATGAACAGAGAAAAAAAGTTGGCGGGAACAGGGCCTATTTATGCTCTCTATTAATATCTAGTGAATAAATATATTTAAAATTATTCAATAACAATAAATTGGCTGGTTTGCCCGAGAGGTTAAGGGGGAAGACTTAAGATCTTCTGCACATAAGTGCGCGTGGGTTCGAACCCCACAGCCAGCAGTTTTTTGCTTTATTTTGTTTATTATCTATAATATTTCAATGGGAAGATTTTAAATTACCCCTAAATTTGGGAAGTTTAATCAATTTTTATTCTAAATGGACTCAAATTTGAATAATACTTTCAAGTTTTATCTTGCTTAAATTTTTTTCTTAAAATTAATGAGTTTTTCAATATATATATACTCGTTAATTTTAAGAAAGAAGTTTACCAAAAATCAATTTCCTCCAAAAATAAAGTTTTACGCACAAAAATAACTATCAAGTAAATTTCACCAACGAAGCTCGGTCAATTTCATAATTCATACCAAGTTTCTTTTTAGAATATTTTGGTTTTTTTTAACAAATTTATGTAATTATTAAGTCAAAGGTCCAATTTAACATAATAAAAAGGTTATGGTAAAAGTTAAACTCATTTATCAACGTTTTTTTTATTTAACTATATATTTATCTCTATTTTCGATAAGTAAATAGCGACTTCTTCAATTACAAATTGAACCACCATACAAAAAATTAGGTATTTTCTTTTTCTGCTTTGAACTTTTTAATTTATATATTTTATGTTTGACTTATATCACATATAATTACCATGTTGCTATTGAAAGATTTGTGATTGTCTTATGTTTTAGARGTGGCTCAATTTTTTAATCTATTTTATTGGAAATGCAGATCAAACATAATTGTAAGATTTTAAAAATTATGCAAGAAATTTATTTTGATCAATATGATAATCACATCTTATTCTATACTTAACCGTCATGAAAGTAATAATTCCTTTGTGGTGGCTACATCGAATAATTCCTCTACAAAAACTGTTCTCGGAAAAAAAAAAAAAAACTAATGACGAAGACCGCCCGTGCCCGTGTTGGGCGAGATAATCACTTGTGTCCTGAAGAAATAATGGATGGAAAACTTGAGGAATTCAAGAGAGGATGATGAATAATAGAATAGAAGCACATAGAATTTGTTTTCATTCCATTTCATCTAAATGCCCAAAAAGTTGTTTCCAATGTGATGATGATTCTTCTGGGGTTCGAAAAGTCCAGATGTGAGATTTCGCTTTCTCTCGGCTTTCAAGAATTTCCTGCATTTATTTTTTTATAGGAAACGTTAGATCTATATTGGAAACGAGAAAAAAGGAACAGCCTAGAGGCCGGGAGATGAGCAAGCCCCCGCCAAACAAAAGCCTAGTGAAGGAATAGTAAAAAAATTTCCTGCATTTCAATACATCTTTTTACTTATAGAGCAATAATAAAAAGTAATATAGGTGAGGACTGAGGAGACCCTTAAAAACAAGCTACCATATTCTACATTGATCTCAACCAGTGTGTGGAAACAAGATCTTTGTTTTTCCTTTAGATAAGAAACATTTGAGTAAATATAGAGAAAATAGGGTATTCAAACCCACACCTACTAGAAGACATTATCCCAAAAAAACTTTTCTTGTTTGAAATACAAAAGATGAATAGTTACAAATTCCTTGCCAAGAGTTTGGTTTCAGTAAAAGTTATATATCGTTAATTTTTTTTATATCCGTGCATGTTTGAATCATCTTGTGTGCACCTAAATTATTCTCATGGAACGATTGTCCGACCCAACTAAATTTGGTTGCTAAAGTAACTCGTACGATATTGAATTCTAGATAGATGACTACCATGATTTGAACTYATTCTTTCAAAGACCTTTTATTTTCATTGGTCCTTACTGACCACCAGACTAACCCAGAGTGATTTAGATTCATAATGTTAATTATATACCAAAGTGTCTGCTGGAAATAAAACAGAACAAACGACGGAACTGAACTTCATTACTAAGCTTACAGAGAGCACTACCAACTATGATAAATAATTTAACAGTATTGCTCTCAAGGATTGTCAGAACTACTGATCTTGTCGAGTACAAGGACCAAACAAAAGAGAATTCACTATTATTTAGCATTTTCAAACTCCTCATAGTTGAATAAGAGGTTTGGGCAGATTCAAAATAGGAGGCATATTGAGGTGCAATAGCCCTCTAAAGTCTAAACATCAGTTACAAAAATTTGTGAGCTTGAAATAATTGAAGTGCTTAATGTATAAATAAATAATAAATAATAAAAAAATTAATGTTATGTAGTATGAGATAAATAAAACTTAATTTCTCATATAGAAAATGCTAGTAGTTCCTTTAAATTATTAATGAGAAGTTTATTGCTCATATAAAAAGTGCTAGTAGGTAGGCCATCCAAAGGACTCGAGGAGACACACCTAAAAGCTAGAAATGGTATCTATATTAAGCTTTTGGCTCACTTGAAATGTCCATTACCATCTATGTCTAAGGCATATATCCTCGACCAAAAATCGGAGGTTCGAATCCTCACCCCACATGTTGTTGACCTTAAAAAAGAAATATATATCTACATTTTATGCACCGGCAAGTATTTTGTATCAGATATATACCTGAACCTCAGAAGCTCGTTTTGTCTTGAGACTTAAACAGTCGACAAGAGCTGTCCATTTGTCAGAACAGTTATCGAAAACCCCAAGCCTGTAGTATTGCTGCATTTGATGAACTGGAGCTGCCAGTAAATAGAACCATTAGATTTACAAGTTGACAATAGGGTGTAAAGATGAGAATTATACAGCTTCAACAAAAAGGAACTAGTTAAATATATATGTGTGTGTGCTCGCGCATTAAAACTATTGGTTTGAAGAATAAGAAACATGCGAATGTGAAAACAATTTTAACCAAATGATGAGGAAAATAGTTGGTGTTGGGAGAATAAAGAACGTATAAACAATTCAGGTAAAAAAAATTAAATGATTCATAATCGTGTATATCTTACATTGGTTCCGGTCTGGTTCAAATACAACAAACCATGGAACTGATTGGTTTCATTCCTTGACCAACTGAACTATTAGATGCTAAAAAGTTTAACAAACAGAACCTTCATTCAATTTGGTTCTTTGCATCCTTGGTAATTTTTTTATTTCAGTGATCCCAAAAATCCATTTTTCGTCATAGTTACTTATAAAACCAAAGTATATGAATACAGTTGAAAAAGTAAGCAGATATTAGTGTAACTATATCAATTGAAGGTTGGTTTTGTTCGGTTCCATAAATTTTATGCAATTGAATGAAATTAGAAAATCAAACAAATGAAACCAATCAAAAGTAAATTTTAAAAACAAAAACAGAACAAATCATTTTGGTTCATTTTGGGATTGGTTTGGTTTTGTACAGCCTAATTAATATGGAACTTTATAAACCTCTGTCCAATTCACCTAATGGTAAAGAGACACTACAAATAAATATCTTTAGTTTGTAGGTTTATTCCTGCAAAATCCAATTATCACAATCTTAGGAATGATCCAGCAATAGTGTGCAGATAATAAGGCCAGCTCTTTAAAATAGAATTTGTGCAAGCCCAAAAAAATATGCCATTTAATGATCAAAACAATACATTAGTTTCCAATAGATTAGATGGATCATGGAGAAATAATTCCAAAATASAAGTAAATTTGTTCATGGTTTGGTTTTCTTGAGCTATTCTATTATACCGAGGAGCTTATCAATCAAAAGTAAGGAATAGTGTCACACACTCTAATTTAAACAACAAGAAGAGGGCAAAAAACACAAATATGCTTGTGAATAGGGATAAGGTGTGAAAGTAAAAAACAAAATAAAATGATGAAAATTGTGTTCATTTTAAGGTTACTTACAATAACAGAACCACAGAGCATCAAAGCAGGTGGTGCAGGACAACCGCCCCCTCAATCCCGTAGGCTTATCCTCCTTCTCTGGCGTCAATTTCTCAACTYCTTCCATGCCTCCCAGTTCAAAAAGTATGACCTATCTAAAAATTTCAGATTCAAGAAATCAGAATCCATTACACACAACAAACGTGCAGGAATTCTATGCACAATAAGGATGGTATAAAATTAGCATAACATGTAATTAACAAGTACTTTTACATAAAAATTCAGAAAACAATTGGACCCATTGACCTGCTTTTATCACCACTGATCGGTATCACAGTAACAATAAAAATATTGCCAAATCCAATCTTTTTAGTACACCTCCTTTAAARTCCAAATTAATCTCAAAGAAAGTAATCAGTATCCGAACTAACATTTAAGTGAACTTATCTCTTCAAAGGCCATGTAATCAACAAATATGGAGTGAACTTTCAAAGTCAAATCAGCAGATAGACGATTATGTATGCTTCTGGAACTGATTTAGGCAGAGATTATAAAATCGCAAGAACCACTCATATCCTCCCCTCTGTAGTGTAATTTAGGAAATGTTGGTGAAATTAGAGGTGTTGATGGGGTGAAGGAGAGAAAAGAACTGCTCTGAGATTCGCACAAAACAAACTACACTAGCCATGGGAATTTTTCCGCCATTTACACGTCAATAAACTTAAAACTATCACCATTTCCAACAGCAGTATCAATTTTGAATCAGCGAAAACTGGGGGAAGAGAAAAAGAGATCGGGAGAGTGAGAGTGAGACGCACCGGAGAAGATGGAAAGAGGAGTGGAGGGCGGCGAACGGCGGCAACGAGCGGCGGTGGGTCTGTTGAACGCAGAGGTAGTAGCAGAAGGTGAGAGGAGAAGAAGATGGGAGGGCTTTGCTTCTTTCTTCTTCCTCCTCTCAATCACAGCAGAATCCTTTTTCTTTTTTAAAAGAAAAAATAAAATTAAATAAACAAAGTAAAATGATATGATACAAAATAGAATGACTTAATCTATTATTCTATTTTTTTATTATTATTATTATTATTATTATTATTATTATTATTATTATTATTATATATATATATATATTTCAACATGCCACTTTACTTTGTCATTTTTTTAATTCAACTTTATTTGTTATTTTTTCATTTGTCAGTCCTAAGTTATAATAAAAAAATTTAAATGCCAATATTACAAAGTCTTAATTTTATGAAAATATCAATATAGATTAATATTTTGAAAAAAAGAATGACAATTATTTAAATTCACAAATAAACGTACATAAGAAAAATTATTAATATTAATGTATATCCATATCAGTGATATTTTATTTATATTTATATTTTATCAATTTTTTGGTATAATACTCTAAAAATGTTGATATGTCACCTACATATGTTCGATCCGGTAAACATAAAAATATCGTCCACCAGTGTCAAACCTAACAACATAAAAATATCAGAACCAAACCAAGTATAGCTCAAATGGTTAAGGCAGCTACCTTTGACCACAAGGTCAAGAGTTCAAACCTCCGCCCAAAGAATGTTGTACTACAAAAAAACATAAAAATATCAGAAATATAATAGCTTTTTAAAGTATTAATCACATAATAATGGTTTGTAAACAATGCTCGTTTCCCCCTTCTGTAAGATTTCAAAGCCTTCACCCAATAAACACATCATTGTTCTGTGTTCTAACCCACTAATAAACCCAACTTTTAATCTCCATGACCTGTACAGAATTCGTTCAGATAATTTTATTTAATTTACAGTAAGCTCTCCACTTCTACTCTAAAACCCATAAAAAAAAACAATAACAATAACAATACTGTAACCAAATCAGATCTCAGACAACAAAATCTGTCGGCTTTGCATAAAAATGGCCTTGAGCCGACTAATTTCTGAGGTCATTAACCATGTGATTTGCCATTGCCATTGCCATCCAAGAGCTTCATGGGCATTAGGAAATCTTTGTGATTCATTTACTGCATCAACTTCCAGTAAAAAGCATCTTCAACTCTTCAATTCGCGCAGTTCGAACCTCTTGATCGGTTAAGGCACCGGAAATTAACCGTTGTTTTCTTGCTTGTACTGCCTCCATTCTTTCCTCCACAGTACCCTGACAAGCAATGTTTTCAATCATACAACATTGTCACATTCAAATGTCAGGTAACAAACCAGTTGACAAGTCTAAGTAGTTCTAAACTATTCTAATTCAAACATCAACACTTAAAATGCTTCCTTGCATTTAGAGATGTTCCAAGACGTGTGATACTAAATCAAGTTGGAAAAGAGATTGCACCTTCACGATAAAACGCTTTATTTTAACACTCTTAGTTTGCCCGATGCGATGAATCCGCATAACTGCTTGTTCTTCAACTGCTGGATTCCACCATGGGTCCTATAAAGATTGTTTAACCATTGACAATCAATTATGCCATCGAGATTACTGTTCAAAAATTATATAATCATCTGCTTTGAACGAGTGAAGAATGAAATAACCAAGCATATATGAACGCAGCCATCACTATTACAATCACGTAACACATATCTATGAAAATTATGAACCATTATGAGAGGACTTCTTCAAATGCAGTTTTTGTGCTGATATTCCAATTCCTACAGCTTGTGACCAAGTGAATGGATTTTTTTTAAAAATGAAATAGCAATATATTGGAGGACCAAGAGATGTGAATCAAATACGGGTCTTATCCAAAATAAGGAGTTACAAGAATCCTCAATCAAAATGGTTTGAGAGAAATTAAAGGATTTTCGAGAGCAAGAGCAGATCTTCGCTTCAGCCTAGCTAAGTTTAAAGCATTCTATAAAGAAGCAATCAGCATATTAGTTATTCTATAGAACATTCGGCTTGTTCATAAAACCATGACAAAGGAGCATTGTAGCATAAAGCATCTGTAAAGAATCAATCAACCTATTAGTTAGTTTATGGTTTGATCCATTAAGCATACCAGTACGAAGGCATTTGAAGCAGCTGTCAAATTTATTCCAACTCCACCAGCCTTTAGTGACATCAACAACACCTAACATCACAACCAATCCCCAACTTTTACCATCAAACAGCCTCCCACACCAAACTGCAGAAAGTAAAATCGCATACCAGAATTCCATTATCCTCTGAAAACTCTTTAATTACTTTTTCTCTCTGCAGCTGATTTAAAGTCCCATCCAGACGAAGAAAAGGAATGTTACTCCTAAGATGGAAATAAAAATAATTACAAAAACCTTACATGCAAGAAATTATAGAGAATGGAATATTATAAGTTGCCACAGAATGTGATAAAGAAATATGAGAAACAAGTAACGACTGGATGACAACTCTGATGCATGACTAGTACAATTCACTAAGAGTATCGGTATACTTGTTCAAATCCCCACATTACCACAGCTAAATTTTTTTAAACGAAATAAATTGATCATGATATCACACAATAATCATTGCTTCTATCAACATTTACATCGTTCTGTATCTAACGGCAATATATAGATGTTGTCACATGTTTTGTTAGACATTTTCGTAACAAATCCAGGCAACTTAAACTTGCATGGACCTTATCGTAGAAGAATTGAGGCATAAAAATAACAAGTATTCTTGGACATTTCCTCTTAACTTTGTCATATATATTCCATTTTGTAATCCTTTTACAAAGAGGATGCCCCATCCTCTAACTTTCTTTGTACAGTAATGTTTTCAATTAGCACCAAATAAAAAGCAATGAATTACGGGCATGTATCAGCTCATCACAAAAGAAACTTTAAGATGGCATACCGAGAAAGAGGAACTTGTAAAAGATCAAGAAAGGCAGTCCACTGGCTGAATAAAATACTCTTTGACCCGGACAAACGAATAATTTCAAGTTCATTCATCAGAGYCACAACTTTGGACGATTCAATCCAATTTTTCTCAATATCAATCTGGAAACGGCTCTCAGTTGGAGCAGTTATAAGATCCTGTCTATTGATGATTTTCCTATAGAGTAATCATATAGTTAATACTTGAGGGAGTCTGAGGTGGAGACACATGCAAATCAAAAGAGCCCCAAAATAGAAAATACTAAAATAGGATTAAGTACCTACAAACTGGACATAAACCAGAACTAGAGTTTCTCCAACTTGCCAAAAGGCACTCCCGGCACAAACGGTGAGCACATGGTGTCAATACTGCATCTTCAAATACTTCAAGACATATTGGACATTCTCCGTGTTCACCAGCTCGAAGCTCTTCCATGACTTCTTGGACATAAGCACGAGAAGGCACGTCTCTACCTTCTCCTTCCTGTATGTTTAGACTGCCTTTAAGAAAACGCTTTGCTAGCTTATTTAGATCAGAATATTCCTGAGTATCACCTCGACTGCATAGAGCAAAACCACCAATTAGTCTTCATTCAAATAATAGGCAACAAGAAAAGCAAGCTATGGTCTGGAGTATACTACTTTAATAGAAAGAATTTATTTTCATTTTCCTGAGCTATAATATATTTGCGTTCAAATAATTTCCTTCCAGCCACAAAAATTAGTGCATACAAAATGATGCTCGTGAATATGTTACAAATAATACAGTGAGAAAATCAATGTAAAGGAAAAGATCAATGTAGATTTACCAAGCTCAATAGAACTAAGGAACTTCCTCCAGAAATAACTTTATTGAAGACCTTTCCTCAGAAACCACCCACTAAATAAACAACTTTATTACTGGTTCCTGCCCAAAAACTATTTTATTCCGTGTTTTCGAGGCGCACACGGGCGCTCGCCTCAGGCGAGAGGCGAGGCGTTTTCGCCTAGGTGCGCCTCGCAAGGTGCCCAGGTGAGCGCCTTCAATCGGGCACTCGCCTTTGGGCGCCTTGGCTCGCCTGTCGCCTGAGGCAAGGCGATCGCCTCCTTCAAGAGGCAATCTGCCTTATTTTTTTATTTTTTATGTGTTTTTTTTTAAAACACCCTCCCCTAAGCGACCCAAACCCTATCTCTGCCTCCCCTCCCTCTCGACATTCACCTTCACGAGCTTCAAGCCTTCACCACCATCAATCTCCGCCGTTGCTTGTCTTTATTTGGAACTAAACTTATAGAATTTGGTTGTTTTATGTATCCTGTTGACATTTACTATTTTGGTATTAATTTTTTTAAGGTAATTTATGCACTATATATATAATTTTTACTTATTTATTAAGGTGCACCTTACTTCAATCGGATGTCGCCTTTGTATCGCCTCTCATCTCAAGGCCATCAAAGGGCTTGTTGCCTTGCGGTGCATCTTGCACTTCGAAAACACTGATTTTATTGTGAACCATGGCCCTTAAGCAGCCTCAACACGATGGGTCCAGAAAATCAATCTCTCCATGGTTCTCAATATTTCCTTTTTTCTAATGAGAAACCAAGCTTTCATTTGAGAAAAGAATGAAAGAGAACAGAAGAGCAAGTCAGTGAACTACCAAAAAAAACAGCCCAAGACCAGGGGAGCCCCACAGCTTGAAGAAAAATATATGTTCTGCTCATGTGTGTCTACGGTACACTCTGGTTCTGGTTTAGGCTGATGAACGAGTTAATTATGGATTGGGTTTAGTGTAATTCAGCAAATTCTTTTGTTTACAAGTCACCAATGATCAGAAGTTTAGTTAGCAGAACAAGGTGTTTCGGACATTGATGAGGAGAGGACAAAGGAACGACTTCGGGATGATGTGGTTTTTTCCTTGGCTTTTTGGGCTCTCAAATCTAGATATTTTTGTAATTGGCTTCACTAATTGGCTCCACAGTTGTTTGTATATCTTTTCTTAGTGAAATTCAGTTTCTTATATATATACTTTTATTATACAAAAAAACACTAAATATACAACTTTCGTACAAACCATTAATTCAAATGGCCTATGAAATTTCCACTTTCTAGATACCTCAGCATCATTGCAATCCTAACTCCGAGGGCAGGACTGAAACAAAAAGCAAGTAATAAAGATAGGAAAAAAAGCACCTCATCACAAGAAAGGGATGATCACAGCATTGCCGAAGACGTAAAAGTAGCTCCAGTATTGATGCATAATTGTGAAGGACACGTCCTTGCTCAACAAATTGATCAAATTTCACCTATTTTTGAATAACATGTCAAGCACGGCAATGGCTCAAACCCAAAATAAACATGAAGCATATGGGCGAGCAGTCCTAGGTTACCTTGGATTTTTTGAAGAGTGCCTCATAAAAGTCTTTTTCAGCATCTGTAAGTTCACAGTAAACCACCTGAACGTCAGCTGGAGGAAGAATTAAAATTGGCCTGCAGCACCCACCTGTTACGATCAGAATGTGCATTGGCAAATATCAAATGACAAGTCTCAGCTAGTCACTAACCTGCCTTCTCGATCTTTACTATATTTGGTCCTCCTCAGCATGATTGGTTTTAAGATGGTTTGAACCAATTTTATCCCTCTCTCATCACCCTCCTCAAATGGCTTTTGAACAATTTTATTCCACCTAAATTAGAAAGGAAATTTGTTCAATGCAAAAACAATTATGGTACATCAAAGCATGCAGAAAAGTGCCTTCAATACCACACACTGAAGAGAACAAGAATTTGAAATTACACTATATATGTAGAAGTTACTAACCATGCCCAATTTCCCCAAGGTTCAATCCGCAAAAACCGAAGAAGACTGAAGATATCCTCCAGGTTGTTCTGAATCAGTTACATTTAAAAGGAGACAACCATAAATGAGATTTAGCATTAATAATTCAAATCAAGAAGTAACCTGGAAGGAAAACACAGCATTGTTCTGCAAATAGTTGAGCCCAAAAGTCCATACATACTAGGTATTAGATAACAACAAACTATACAAAGTTGACAAGTTTAATGCAAGCTACCATATGAGCTCTATGAGAAGCTTTAGTTGTTGATCCCAGTGCTATAAACCAATCATTTTTAGGGTAAAAATCAATTTATGTCCCTAAACTATGCAGGTTGAATCAATTAAAACCCTAAACTAATAATTGTATCAATTAAAATCCTAAATTTTCATAAGTGAATCAGTTTGCACCCACCACTATGGTTTCTATTTGAAAATCATTAATAAACAATTCTAACAAGTGCGTAGACTTTTTTAAACGCAAGATTAATGCAATATTAGACAAAAATATTGGAATTAAGTGGGTTATAGCGGTTTTCATCAAAAGAAATATAGACGAATAAGAGAAGACTACACTACCATATTGATAGACGAATAAGAAATATAGACGGATTAAAAACCAACCATATTGATGAAAGCTACTACTACCTACTTGATTCTATCATTTCTCTCTAATATTTCATTAATCTTGCATTTAAAGAAGACTACACACGTGTGAGAATTATTTATTAACCATTTTCAAATATAAATCATAACGGATGGTGAAAATTGATTCACTTATGAAAGTTTTCGATTTTAATTGAAACAATTATTAGTTGAGGGTTTTAATTGATTCAACCTACTTAGTTTTGGGATATAAATTGATTTTTTCCTTAATTTTTAAAGCATGCAATATTACTAATAGAATTATGGTTCTAACTTTAATAAATTAATAATTATAACTACTGCTTGTCTTACACATTCTGACCACACCAAACATCCCTGTGTTGACATAAAAGAAAAGGTATAAAATAAACCATTATTTTTAATGCCCAAAAAATGGTTTTTCATAGTTTCGGCTGTCAAAACAAAAATTCCAAAATAGACATTTTGTTGGGATTGCAACCCCCCACCCCCCAAAAAAAAAATTAAAAAGCAAAAAACTGAAAAGAACTGATCCAGAGATCAAACTACAAAGAACTTCACATAAATGCTTTACCTGGATAGGAGTGCCAGTAAGACACCAGCGACGGTCAGCAGCTAGTGCAGTAGCAGCAGCAGATATTTGGCTTTTAGAGGACTTAATAGTGTGAGCCTCATCAAGAACAACCCTAAACCACCTAACTGAATATATTCCACTTTCTTCAGCATTCTACAAGCAGATTAATAAAAATTATATAATATTTAAAATAAATAAATAAACATAACTCAGTAAATGTGAATTTAGAAATTACAGGCTTAGAATGAAGTTGGAAACTACCTCTGCACCAAATTCTGAAGCTAAAACCCCATAGGTAGTGATTACAACATCGCTCTGTGCCAGAGCTCTTGCATCCTTTGATCTAGTTTGACCATAATGAATGTACAGAGACAGAGATCCAGGCCGCACATGAGCTTCAATCTCTGCCTGAAAAACAATGTAACCATTCAAAAGTATTTCTCAAATATGATAGACCATTTTCCTAAGCATAATACACGGAACAGATTGAAGTCTTGAGGTTTGAGCGAGCAATTTGTTACAGCTGAATGATAGTGRAATAAGTACCTTCCATTGTCCTAGAAGGGTCATGGGACAAATAATCAAATTGCCACCACTTGCTAGGGTATTCCTCTGCTGCAACAACTTCTCAAAACCTGTAATCTTTGCCTTCTTCGAAGGATTCGAAGATTGGTTCATACTGCCATCACCACCTTCAACGGAGGTAGGTGTCAGCTGACTACTGGATGTCCCACCTCTTTCTGAATGAGCAAGAAGAAGGGATATGGTCATGATGGTCTTCCCAAGGCCCATGGCATCGGCCAGAATCTTTCAATAGTAATAATAAACCAACTAGTCAATAAAAAAAGAAATAGAACAGATAACACAAGCAGAAATGTGTTTATAACCATGATTCATTATTTAAGATTTTACCCCTCCTCTGGCCATTTGGAGAGTGCTTGGGAACTCGGTCGTTGCATCACCAGAAAAAGCATTTAAATAGATGACAAGCTCCCTCCTGCAAGATAAGAACATAGTCAAACAACAAATTACAACTGTAACTCACGAAACCCAAAATAATCCTGCATACTTACTTGTCTGCAAGGCGATAGGCCTCCCAACATGGATGAAGAGTTGTTGCAGCCTCATCTATGCACTTTCCTTTCTCCAGATATATCATCCAATGAAGAGCCTGCTTTTGGTATGGCCGAAGTTCACATTGGAGGGCATTAGGTGGATCCATTTCCTATAGACAACATTATTCTAAATATTACAGTCTGAACTGCACTCCACCAATGAACAATATTCTTACAAAAATAATAGTACCTCCAGCTCTGAAGTGTCTCCAACACCAACAATATTCTCAATCTCAGCATCTGAGATTGACTCTCCATTTTCAGTCTCATTATCATTTTGAGAACAACTCTTCAAGGTACGGGCTAATGAGGACGGCAGACTATAACTAACCTGTCGTATAAAATGTCTTTAGAGTACAGGCCTAACTTGTGTAATCAGCTATGAGTCATATGACAAAGTTACTCTGCTCAGACCTTCGAGTCCAATGGTCGCTTTCGTCCGCTCAAGTCTTCTGGAGTAAATTCAGCCTGATTTCATTCAAGTTGCATCATTTCAATTATATACATAAATAGATTTATGCAATTGCATATATTCACAGGACACACATGATCCAACCCTCTAATTCAACCTATCTCTTAAAATCACAGAAAAACAGATTGAATTTACTAAACTGATTATTGCAGCAAATAATAAATACTACCTTCTTCAAAGGTGTCAAGCCAAGAAGCCGGAACAAAGTTGGGAGAGGATGAATAACTGATTCCGCAGCTGCATTGCTAGCTGCCTTAAGAGAGGTCTGCTGGTGTTTACGAAGCAAGGAGCTGTTAATGTATACACTGCATTGCGATAACACATATCTTCATTAGTTAATAGAAGCTCCACATCATGGACAAGAACCTTTTTACCTCGTAGGAAATCAGAACATACTTGATATGTCAATGTTGTACCATGATCAATCAGAAAAAGTATAACTTAAAAAATCAAGACAACAAATGAGAGAGAGCAAATATATATGTATGACACTGATAATATAGGTAACGTACCTTACAGATAAAATTACCGTATCCATTAGGGCCAGCAGTTCCGGAGCAGATTTACATAAACCCTCTACCCTGACCTTTCTATCCCTCACCAACGGCAACAGGCATCGAGCCCATTCATTGGGTATTCGACCAATCTGCCAAAATCCCATAAATTCGTATGCTATAAGAACAGGAGATTATCATTGACGAAAGAAGGGGGGAAAATAGGCTTCTAATAGTAGGCCACTTAGAAATAAATTCCCTTTTGTTTAAATGAATAAAATCAAAACATAAACTGAAATGGCAGAATTCCACACACACAAGACAGATTACCTCCCCAGAATCTTTTGTAGAAAACCTCACAATCTCCGAAAAATTGGCCATGTGCCTTCCCTTCCCGAAAACCTTAGCCGGTAATGGCGTTTTAGACCCATTCCTCGAAGGAAACATGAACACCACTCCATCGCCAGGCTTCACCTTCCTCCCTTTAGACGTAGACAGCCCAGCCACTTCAGCACAGCCAACGAGCCACCACTCACTCCCAATCGAACTCGAACATGGAGTGGAGGTTTCCATAACAGCATCCTTGTCCCCAACAATACACGGACTTCGACTACAAGTAACCTCGTCAGGCGACGGGGAGTTCATGCCCTCATTGCGAATTTTCCTCTTCGACGTAGAGGCTACAGGCTTGCTCTCATTAGCAACATCAGAATTTTCCTGAATTCGCGGTTTATCCCTCGTACTGAAACTAGAGGGCGTATCGTAGATAATGTTAATGGCGGCGGTGGCGTCGTTCTTGGCCAGGTGGAGAGCCCTGATGATGTCCATATGGGAGAAGTCGGGACCAACGATGGACCGTACCGTGGATACGAGTTCATCGCTGATCTTGCTCCCCATTTGGGAATTGAAGGATTAAAACCCTAAACCTCGCAGAAAATTTTGACGAAGCTCTACTGATTCTTGAGACGGAATCGCGGCCAAGGAGAATTTGAAACGAAGGGAATCAAAGGGGCGGAAAAATGGCGGGGACTGGGAGTTCTATTGAAGGAGAAGCAGAGCAGTGGAGAGGCGCGTGAGACAACATTGGCCGTGGCCTTTTCCCGCCATGCGAGGCTGAAAGTTGAAACTAAACTACTGTGCTAATTGCCACCCCAGTATTGAATATGTGACCAAAATTTTTTGTTTCTTAATTTTTTTAATTTCGACAACATGTGACACGTGGAAGTAGGGTTTGTCCTCCTTTTTTTTTCTGTCTCTTTTCTAATTTTATTAAAAAATTTATAATTTTTTATTTATAGTTTCACTTCTAATTTGTTCTACATAAATAATGATTTTGTTTTACCATTCTTAAATTTATMGATGTTGAGATCATGCAAAACGTTATCAAACGGACTCTAAAARTTCAATTGATGATATATGTTTTGACCAATTAGATAGCTAAAAATTTTTAATATAGTATTTGTAAACGATAAAAAATATCTAATTTAAAAAGTATTGTATATCTAATTTAAAAAGTATTGTTGAATAAATTATTTACCTTGGTTTGATTGAACCGAAGAAAGAAAAAATAAAACAAAATTAAAAATTTAGAGAGTATTGGAAACATAATTCTATATTTTCAACTAAACTAGTAATTTAGACTACATTTATAACCATTGAATATTTTAACCAAATTTTAAAACACATTTATTTTTTTTAACCAAATTTAAAAAGAAAAAACAATATTAAATGAAGAAAAACATTCACTAGTATAATACTTTGATATGGAGGAGGATACAAAGAGATGTTGAGATATATATATATCTTACAACGATGCATGATGAACAGCAAACGAGTTCAGCTGTCTCAGAAATTTGTTTTCATGAGGAGAAAAGGAAGGAAAGTGCCCCCAAGAAGAAACAATACCAAGCACCTTCCTTTCTTTCTCCTCCATACAAAGCCCACGTTTGCCGACGCATCGACTTCCCCGTGCCTCAAAATAGAGAGAAGCTTTTCCTGTGTCGAGAATGACRAGCTGGACGTCGCAGCTCAACTGAAGCTCGTGGACTGGGACCGACGCTTTCAACGATATCTGATTGAGCATCCGACGTGCGAGGGAGAAGCTTGCACCCGATGCTCCTAGCAACCGTGCGAGGAGAAGTGGTGGAGTTATGTGATTTTTTAACCTTTTTCATCTCTTCCTTCATTTTGTTGAACTCTTGCTCCAGTTCTCCAACTCTAGACCTCATGTTATCCAGATCCACCTTCAAAACTTGATTCTCCCGCACAACGGTCACCCACCCGTCTCTCTGTACGATCTGACCTGTCATGTCGAGCGGGGCTGCAACGGGACCTGCCAGAGCACTTTCAGTGTCCAAGACATTGAGACAGCCAGCTAAAGCTGTTCTCAACTGCATCTGCTCAAAGAACAGCACTTGAAGGACAACTCTAAGTGGCAACCTCTCGTTCTGGGATGCATGAGCACAAGCATCAATCGATAACTTCCGATAGTCGATCACGTTGCAAAGTTCTTCCCGCTCCCTGGCAGAGAGAAAAGGGTGAGCCTGCACAAATGGCAATATTAGCTGCAATTCAAACATCGATATAAAATAAACTTATCACAAAATCAGAAGCAAACAGTCCATCGATATCAACCTTGAAATATATGTCAAGTGCTCTATATAGCCCGTCATGGAAAGATCTTGACGCATCTGGTATGGCCTCTGCAAGGGATCTGATTTTTAGCGGTTTCAAGTTTACATCTGAAGCAACTTCTGCCAGATAGCTATCTATCAGTCTTGCTACCTTTTTCAGTTGTCCAGATCCTGGTGATGCTTCAAGATCAAGTGATGCTGGAGAGAATGCGGTCACCATTGACTGCAAAGATGTAAAATGATGGATGATTCTTTCAATGCAGTCGGTGTCATACAACGTATCGGAATCCGAGTACGAGGGAATTAGGAGACCATCTAGAGTTGCCAACTCAAGTTGCATTCCGATTCTCCTCTCTAACGAGTCCATACATGGTCTATCCACACCCAATATCAAAGCAACTCGAAGAAGACCGAGTAAGAAGCGGCAAAATGATTTTCCCTTCTTCGAGGGAAGAAGTTTTTCAATAGTTTCCAAAAGAATTCTTTGATCAACGGCAGCAGGTGTCAAGCTAAAACTTGTAACTGTCATAGGCTTTCCAATTTGTCTACCGTGCCAGCGGCTCAAACCTGGCAAGTACTTTCTAGCATAATATATTATAGCACCCACCAAATTTTCAGGCCTTAAACCTCTTGCTTGCATTGCCTTGATAAGTTTCTCAAATAAATTCACACTCAGATAAGAAACATCTTCAAACCACCAGTCTGATTCTGAGCTTCGAATTTGAGCGCCAGTGTTAATTCCATTCCACAGAATGCTTCCACCAGGGCTCTGTAAACTACCATACATCATCATAGGCCATCCGAACAAGCTAGGATCCGTGCAAGCCATCACAGAAAGAGCATCCAAACATTTTCTTACTATCTGGAGCTTATCGGCCCTTTCCAGAACAGATTCTGCATTTTGAAGAGCCACTATACAATCTTTCCAGTGGCGAAGTATGCTGTTGTGAAGATAACTCTCAGATTTGGAGATCAAGTTATCTTCCCCAAACACATCTGTCATTTCAAGATAGTCTGCAGCACAATACACGGTTATAACATTTTTCGGTGTCAGTTCGACCCGGCCACTGTAGCAAAATTTTGCCACAATGTAGAAGGTATCAGGGCCACCAGGGAAATCTTCTAACGCTGCTTGGAAAATCTTCCTTGGGGTATACTGAGATTCTTCATATATTTGAGCTATCTTCCCACTTTTTGATATCAAAGGAAACTGCATTACACAGCATTCAAATTTCTTGATTTAAAAACCGTTCTATAACTTCGAAAATACTCGCCACAATAACTTCATTTTTTGAAACAGGTAAGACTAGAAGTCTAGAATTAAAATATTTAAGGTCCCAGTATTTTATTTTAGTTTTTAAAAATTAATCTTATAATAACTACTTATACATATGCAAATAACAAATTTGTGGTAAAATTACATTTTTCAGTTTCAAAATTTGGCTAGATTCAAAAACGGTTTTAGTAGATTAGAAAGCAGAAAAAAATATTAGTAAACGCGAGTGATCTTTTAAAAACGGAAAACAATCACAAAAACATTATCAGACCAACAATAAATTAACCATGGTTGATCAGAAAATGTCCAGTTTCAATGTCGATGCAGGTAAAAAATTGAAGTTCTAGTAAAGAACCCCGCTGAAGAGAATGGAAAGTGAGGGAAGCAAGGGGTTGGCTTTACCTTATGAAGATGAAAGTGTACGCCTTCAACAGAAACAGTGATGTCACTGGGCAATCCAGCGCTGCAAAACCTGCAAAATTAATAACAAAAAAACGTGTCTCGGTTATGCAGAACAAATTGTTCGTGATTTCTTAGCCCCATAGACAAAGACAACTTCTTTGTTGGGTTCAGATTATTTGACTTCATAAACTTAGTATCTTCTACAAAATCACTACAGACTGATGAACCAGACCTAAATTGAGACTTAAGAGCACCTACCAATCATTCCCTTCTCTGTAGAAATTGGAAACCTTCCCAGCAGGAGCCATAGTGATTTTCACCAGTAGAAGAACAACCCCCTGCTCTCTAAGAAGCAGAATTCATCTGGTAAGGATCAGACCCACATAATTTCCAACAAGCAAATCCGCAAAAAATATTCAAACTCCCAAAAGAACCAACGGGCAGAAGAGCAAAAGCCCCACAGAGGTTGGCAATCCCAATTCCCTTTTGAGCAAAAAGCCTCGAATGGTCAAACCCGTATCCAAACATCACAACCCATTACAGAAAAAAGCAATTCCAATCAAAAAGGCCAAAAGGGACAGAAGCCCAGAAGTTCATCTCGAAATCCCACAAAGAAACGAATGAAAACAGCGACAAAAAACCAGGTAAAAAGAAAAAGGGGAAAAGAACAACTCGCTAAGTGAAACTGCGGGGAAAGGTTGTGGCTTAAGGAGGAGGAGGAGACAGAAATAATGGTGGGCGGTGAGGAGAAAGGGGGAGAAATGAAGTGGGTTTTTTGGTTCACGCTTTTTGTCGAACATGTTGGCTGCTTGCCAGAGGCGAAAGCATTATTGGTGACCATTGACGCGTGGGAAGGCGTAATTTTAATTTGGGAGTGAAAGTGAAGTGAAGCAGAGGATTTAGTGAGTTTTGGAGAGAGAGTTTGATTTTGATTTTTGTGGATGATGATAGAGTGGTTGGGGAGCGGTGGGGCCGATGAACACTGCTGTGAATGATCAGCGGGCGATGCGATCCTGAGGAAGAAACTCCACAATTCTCTGCAATTCAAAATCAACGAACAGGCTGCAGCAGCAGTCCCCCCTTTTCAAAATTTGTCTAAAGATCGTTTGACGACTCCATCTTCCAATGTCTGCCTTCCTCGTTACTCTTTTCATTTTTCTTAAATCGCAAGTTTAATCTCCATGTTCTTAATTTGTTTCTTAATTTGTAATTTTGTATTTTACGAGATATTTTTTATTTACTAGACAACAAAATTAATTTCTTTTTAGGATAACATCCGATAGTTTTTTATCAGAAAAATGTATCAATTTTTTTTTTAGAATAGAAAAAAAAAATGTATCAATTAGCGCTCCCTTTGACAACGGTTTGAGCTCGAAATCGTTAAGCTCAGATTAGGTGTAGGTCGGAGTGGACTAGACGATCTTCTCTCAACTGCCAAACACCCTCCCAAAGCACTCGAAGAACCTGCAAAACAAAGTTAGCACTTCGAATAGCAAGTTAATATCAGTCGACCTAACTTGCTGATTCTATCTAGGATTGCGTACTTTGCATTTAAGACATGAGTTTCTATTTATAGAACTTAGGTCCGACAAGAACCCTGACACACCCTAAAAATACGTTGTTGGGTTCGGAAGAGACAATTTTACGGACTTTACTGAAGGTCGGCTCGGCTTCTTAGGTCATACCCCAACTGCCAACCTCGACGTTTTAAGGTTAATTTCTATGTTTTGCACAAATGCCGATTTTCCTACTATTTCGATCCTGACACGTGGCACGTTAAAATTCTCATCCGACCGCAACAAAATTAAATTATTTATCTAGTACAATTTTATCTTTTAATTTCTGTCTAATAAACCATGTGAAATTTTAAAATTTTGAATAAAATTTTATAAGGCACTAACAAAATTTAAGTACTTTTTAATACAACAAATGTGGAATAGTTGGTTCAACATCACCTCTCTATTTAGCTAAGATACATGAACGTTCACGTATTAGATAAAATTTAGGGACTTATTAGATGTAAAATTGAAAGTTTACTGATTTATTATGTGATTTGTATTTTTCAAATTTGAATGCAAAAGGTTTAGAAAATCCATTTAAAATTTGGGACGAGTATATCTCAGCGTTAGTTGGAATATACCTTTAACTATGAGATTGTGAGTTCGATCATCCACCCCATATATTGAAAAAAGTTTTCATTGGTTTAGTATATTAATATTGATTTATTTCACACGACGTCTTGTATAGAATATTAGACTTTGTTCTTGGTTCCACTCAAAAGGTATTATGGAGGTTACCATCATTCCTTCATGCCATGGATCACTTCCTTCCTTAATACTTTGTTTGCACTCCTTACAAATCCAAATCCAACAATTCGAATACACGAAGTTTTTATTTATTTATTTATTTTTGTTGAAAATACATGCCTTAATCAATTCAACTAACACTTGTTTTTTTCGTTATTTTATTATTAAGTTCAAACTTTAATCTAATACAACCAATATGAGCTGCTCAACAGTAATTGATATCTATTTATCAAGAGGTTATAAGTTCGAATCTCTACCCATACTCGTTGTATTTAAAATATATATATATATATATATATATATATAATTTCAATGCATGAATTGTTCGTGATATAATAAATGTTTATGAAATAGAGGTTTGCTTGTAATGTGAGAAAAGTAATTAGTCTTCATAGTAACTTGTGATGATTAATTTGGGTGTATGATTGACATTCACTGTCACGGTTTTCTAATTAAATCTTCAACGTCTTTCAAAAATCAATAACAATTAATGTAACTTTTTATCATTTATTTTTCAATTCTAACATAGTCAAGCTTGAATTTTTTTTTTTATTTTTTATATAGGAGTTAAGTTTGGTTTTAAAATATCTAGTTTTGCACCTCACATTTTTCGTACTTAAAAAATAACGAAAAAATAGAGGAAAAAATAACGAAAAAATAGAGGTACGTTTAGTGGGTGATCTCAAAATGAGATACACAATTATATTTTATATTTTCAATGTTTTGAAATGTGTTTAACAACATATTTAGAAATTAAATATCAATTTAAAAAATATTATGTACTAGGCTACTAGTATTAGTTTACCAATTAAATATTCGGTTCAATCTAGAATATTATCTATTGACTAAATATTATCTCTTAATTTTTGGGTTCGTACAATCTCTAATATTTATCCTCTAATTCTTGTTGATCTTGATCGGCCTATCGACAGCTGTTGATCTTGATCGGTCTATCGATGGTTTGTTGATCTTGATCGGTCTATCGGAAGCTTGTTGATCTTGATCGATCTATCGGAAGCTTGTTAATCTTGACCCCTCTATTTCATGGGCTTAGGTGGGCTTGGACTCATCTGATTCTAAGTCAATTGCCACGGCACAATCCCATTGGGTCAGCTTATGTCAATGACATGACACAAATTTTGATTGAACCAATTTATATGTCACATGTGACGCAATCTTATTAAATCAACTTATGTCATCATATGGTTATAACATAATTTGATTTGTCGAATTCAAATGCCCAAAAATAATATGTTACATTATTTAATTGGCCTCAATTTAATGACATAAAATTTTGTCATTATAATTACGTGAAATTTGTGATTCACCCATATTCTAAATTTTGTAGAATTATTATTTTACGATATTATATAATTTATAATATATTATATTTTATATGTTATAGTTTTAACAAATTAAAATGATATTTTTAAAATTGGGATGACTTTTGTAGTACAAATTGAAATGACTGTTGTAAAGTATTTAGTCGTTCAGTTTCAAGAAGAGTCATGCTGCAATAAGACGAACCATTTGCTCCAACTGACCGACTTTTTATTAGCATCAAAAAGTGCCGTCCAATGTCGAATATATATATAATATAATATAGGAAAAAATATATTTTCAGTTTCTCATATTTTAAATAAATATCTATTTAATCCTTAAAATTTCAAAATGGATAGAAGATTTAGATAGATTTAGATTTGATATCTATGTGATTCCTGAAGTTTTAAAATGAACATCTTTATTCATAAAGTGAGAAATCATTTTAAATTATTCGTGAGCTAACTTTTGACTCACTAATATTAATATTAAAACGAAGTGGTATTTAAAATATCGACTGAAATAAATATATTAATTTAATAATATATTTTTCATGATCGAACTCTCTCTATTTCTTTTTTTCCTGTAAATTATCTCTCTTTTCACCTATTCCTTCCCGCTCTCGAGTGAAACTCATCTACGCTATTGAAATTGACTCATGATTCAAACCAACGATCCCTAGCTACTATAATATAAGTATAGCTTTCCATAAAAAAATATATTTTAAACATCTTTATTGATATTTAATTACTTTTGAAATATTATTACATTTTATAAATTAATTAAAATAAATATAAAACTATTGTTTTTTTTAATTATTTTTTTGTGTAATTTGTTTAATTATTAGCCAAATTTCATAGACAAACACAAATTTTGGTTACAAAGCCAAACTGGTGTCAGATCATTTCTGTTATATCTACTACCAGAATCAGTTTTAATCCAAACATTSTCACTATTTTGTTTCAGGCCTCAGCTGAAAAAATAGCTTTTTCTGAAGACAACAGGAAAGATCCAGAAAAATTAAATTGCTACATTTGTAATCCTATATTCTAAAATATTATTTTTATACAAACATTTTGCACATTATATTATAACGGAAAAATGTTATACCCACGTTTTGTTGGTACGTTCGTCTTGATTTATTACACGCGAGCTTATTAAAGATGAGTTGTTACGTATGTATTTAGATTGCGCGTAAAATATATTTGTCAAAGTCTCCATTTGTTAAAGTTGTGTTTAGATGATATAGCTCATATATTAATGATTTGATTGAAATCATTAAAATTATTTAAAAATTTTGTTTTTAGATGAAATTAGGAAATAGATTTTCAGTATAAATAAAAAATAATAATACATTTGTTCGTCCATTTTTTAATAATTATTTTATAAAACTGATATTTAATTATTTTATATTAATTTATCTAATGTATAATTTACCAAATGTTATCAATAGTTTCTTTAATTATTCGTTATTTTTTACTATGCTAACTAAAATTATTTATTAATTATCACAAAATAATACCATTCTAACTTAACTTTTTTTTTGCCTTTTTTTTACTTAATCAATACATTTGATTCAAAAGTTTAACATATTTTAAATAATTATTATTTAAAAATTATTAACTTCAACACAAACTAATCAAAATAGTTAAATTAATTAATTATATATTTCTTTAACTAATTATACTAATATGACTTTTACACTGCACTCTTAAAACGAGGTTGACAAAACTACAAATTTAGAGAAATGAAGTGGTTAGATTGTATAGCTTGCTTGGACTTGAAATTTAAAATAAAACGTTTAAACTGTTTATATATGTGTGATTAAAATGTATTAATATTTTAAGCCTGCACAATTTATTTTAATATAATTATTAATCTAAATTATTTTTAATAATTATTTTGTGAAATAAACATTTAATTAGTTTTTGAATTTAACTTAAAAAAAAATTGAAGTGTGAACAATGTATACATAAATTAGTATATATTAATTTATCATTATAATTGCTCTAAAATATGAAGTTTATAACGAGTATAAATGAAATTTACACTAGGTTAGTTTTTGTAAAATTTGACATATAAGTTTAAAATTGAACTAAATGATCGTTGTGGTTCCAACCGATTGTAGAGGCATTCATGGGTTGTGTTGGGTTGAGGTACTTTTTAGACCCAATCCAATTGTTCGAATTGTAAATCTATTCAACACAAACAACTCTTAGCTTACCAAATAAAATATTTGGGTTAGGGTTCGTTGTCAGTTATATTCAAAGTATTTTGTAACAAAAAAAATGATAACATTTAAATATTTGTTTATATATTGTTAAACATTGCATCAAAATTTGTAATTTGATTTTATTTATATGGAGAAAGTAACACTCCAAATTTAA